TATATATATATATATGCCTCTTCCCTAAGTCCTTGCCACCAGGTGCTATTGTGTAATATTGTATAATGAAAGCAAATCCCAACTGAATCCTGCCACACATATACTATTTACTAGCAAGCAGGCTCAAAGATTGGTCACACGACGGGTTCCTACAAGCTGAGTAAATCTCAAATCTCATTTATCTTTTGAAGCACTTTACATTACAAATGTTACCCTGAAGCATATGAAACAATTATGTACTGTAGAATCTGATATTTTGTATTTAGATTGAAAAGCAGAATTCTACATTAAGGCAAGGCACAGATAAAATAGAAACTTAGATAATCTATAGTTAAGCGACTAGACACGTGATTCTTCACTTGATTTATGAAGGGGTAGTAGTGACTGTAAAATATTTCTAGCCACCACATACAAAGGACACTATTTCAATACGCAACATTTGAAGTACTTAAGAGCTGCCTCTGGAGAGTGTCTTGACTGCAGCTGTTCACTATTCTTACTGGAAGGATTTATGATTAGCATATTTTAAATGTTAACTAACCACCCCTAGTTGTCAATTAAAGTTAAGTAACATGCAAATACAGTAGTACAGATGCTATAATAGAACTTCAAACCAAGATGCAGAAGGCAAATCAGATCAGTGCAAAGTCAGAATATATAAATGTATACAAACATACAAAGATGTATATACATATATACATTTGTACAAAGTCAGAATATATATATCTTTTTTTTTTTTTTTTTTTTTTGAGTCAGAGTCTCACTCTGTTGCTCGGGCTGGAGTGCAATGGCATGTTCCGGCCAACCCATCATCGACCCTCTAGGCTCAGGCGATCCTTCCACCTCAGACTTCCAAGTAGCTGGAACTACAGGCATGCTACCACGCCGAGCTAATTTTTTGTTGATATACTGTATAGACAAGGTCTCACCAAGTTGCCCAGGCTGACCTTGAATCTCTGGGCTCAGGCAATCCTCTCTCCTCGGCCTCCCAAAGTGCTGGGATTACAGGCTTAAGCCACTGCACCAGGCCCAAGGTTTTATCTTTATTATTGCATTTCAACAGTTTTTATAGTGTGCCAGTGTGTGTATACAGGTGGGGAGGAGATCAGTATCTATATTTCTTAGGATACTGAGTTTGTTGGATATGTAAGTTTATGCTTTACATCTAATTTGGCAAATTTTAGGGCATTATTTCTTTAAATAATATTTTGGTTTCACTCACTCACTCCTCTCCTTCAGGGATATACATATATATATATATATTAGACTTCTAGGCATTGCCTAAAATTTGATTCATTTTTATTCAGTCTTTTTTCTCTGTTTTTCAGAATGAAAAAATTCTATTGATTTATTTTAAAATATACTAACCCTTTCTCCTGACATCTCTAACATGCTATTAAGCTAACCCATTTATGTTCCTTACAGATATTGTACATTTTAGTTCTAGAACTTTCCTTTTTTGTAGTTTCCATTTCTATAATGAGTGTCCTCCCATATTTTATTCATTATGGTTATAGTTTCCTTTAAACCCTGAACATATTTTTAACAGTCAGTGTAAAGTTCTTACATGATAATTCTAACATCTGGGTTATCACAAGTTCAGTCTTCCTTAACATCTTTTTCTCTTTACTGTGTATCACATATTTTTGTTTATTTGTATTTCTAGTAATTTTTGTTGCATACCAGACATTATAGATGATATGTTTTCAGGATTCTGATTCTATTATCCATTGAAGAGGACTGATTTTTGTTCTAGAAGGCAGTTTACTTGACTCATGGTTTACTCTGAAGGTAGTTTACTAAACTACCTTGCAATGGGCAGCAGCCAACATTTTCAGCGGTTCTTCATTGTCTGCTTGCACATACAGTTCAGTGTTAGCTGAGGATTTGGGAAATGGTTTGTACACAGATTTCAGGGTGCATAACTTCATTTCTAGATTTAAAATTTTCCCTCACTTTTCAGCTGACGTGCTACTGCAAGGCTTTGCTGTATGACTTGTCAAGCTATTTAAGTCTCTAGCCTTCTGCTTGAGTTCTAGTCATTCCTTTCCACATCAATTAAGGGCTTTCTCAAGTGTGAAGCTCTCCAATCATTGTCTATTCTTAATTGATCACCAGTGCCTTTAAGTAGATATATGTATATATCTTAGTTTATCATCATTGTCTTTGAGAGAGGTAGTCCAATATGAGATGTATTATCATTAGCAGAAGTGGAATTTTATGTAATTCAGCTTCATATATGTGATATTTTACATTTTTGTCTAACATAATTATCTGTTTTAAATATGACTGAAATGTTTGCATCATGTTAGAATTTTTCAATATGATTGAGTATTATTTCAATCACATTTGAATAGTTGAATATTTGAAAATGATTGAAAGAGTATCTGTCTCTCATAATTAAATATCAAACAAGTTATATTTTGAGAAAAAGTCTATGTATGTTGTGAAAGGAACTTGTGACCATCTGAAATGAAAGAAGTAAAAGATTTATTTCCAAAACACCATTTGAAAGCTTGATGCACTTTTACATGAGGGAATGAAAAATTACAAATCATTATAGGCAAAGAGAATACTTTGATTAAGAAGCTCAGAGACAGCCGGGCTGGGTGGCTCAGCTTGTAATCCCGCGCCTTTGGGAGGCTGAGCTGAGTGGATTGCCTGAGCCCGCGGGTTCGAGACCTGCCTGGGCAGCAAGACCTCATCTCTACAATAAATCGAAAAAAATCAGCCGGGCATGGTAACGCATGCATGTAATTCCGGCTACTTGGAAGGCTGAGGCGGAAGGATTCCCGGAGCCCAGCAGGTGAGGCTGCGGTGGCCGGGAGCGGCCACTGCACTCCAGTCTGGGCGACAGAGTGAGACTCCAACTCAAAAAAAAAAAAAAAAGAAGCTCAGAGATACGCACATATGGAATGGGTTAGCAGGCATTTATGTTGTTGGTTGAAGAGCAGAAGATAAAGCTGTGGCAAATTGGTGGAATATTTTAATACTAGACATTGAAATTCTGCATTATTTCTAGACAGCATGGAGACCATGAAGGAATTCTTAGCAGAGTATTTGATTGACAAGACATTAGTGATATTTAGGATTGATTCAAGCAGGGAGAGATGAAAGACAGAGAGAAATTTAAGGAGGCTATTCCAGGAGTCTTTATGAGAGATCATAAGGGCATTTAACACTGTTGTTGAAACAGCAGAGAAAAGGAAGTGTGGAACTGAAGTGAGAAGCTGCTCAGCAGGAGAGTTTATATAGCTTAGCATTTTATCAGATGTTGAAGATGAAAGGGAATTAAAAAACAATTTCAATTTTATTTCTTGCTGATTGGGAAGAAATGCAAATTTCTTAACTGCAAGAGAGAAAGAGAGGTATGGAAGCAGAGTCAGTTTTTGTGAGAACCTAAGAAATGTCCAATATTTCTGTTTTAATTTTATTATCTTCATTTACAGTTATTTGAAAGATAAAGTATGGAGCTAGGAAAGAATGTTATAAGAATAGATTGAATTATTGAACCCGTGGCAGGAATGGGAGTGGTAGTGGTGATGGTCTTTCTCTCTCTCTCTCTCTCTCTCTCTCTCTCTCTCTCTCTCTCTCTCTCTCTCTCTCTCTCCCTCCCCCCTCCTTTA